GCTTTACCCAAATTTTTGGATTGCTCTCAAGATAGCCTGCACTCTGCCTGTGACAGTTGCCTCAGCAGAGAGGAGATTTTCCAAGCTCAAATTAATCAAATCGTACCTGCAATCACCAATGGCCCAGGAAAGACTAAGTGGACTTGCAGTCATTAGTATTAATAACAAAGTTAACAAAGTATTAATAACGAAGGAACGATTTTGATGTCATTGTTGTACAATTTTCATTGTTGAACCCTTTTTTGCTTTCATTATTTAAGTATCTTTTTTTTGTAACATTCTATTTTTGATATATTTATATTTGTACATTATGGTTTCATTTAAAATAGAGCACATTTAATGCACATTTGCAAATAATTGATTTAACATATTTGTATTCAAAAGGTTTAATAAAATGAAGTATTGTAAGTATTGTTTATTTATTTATTTTGTATTAATACATAACTGTAAGGTATTCATTTAAAATATATTTATTTATAATATATAATGTTATATATATATTATATATTATAACATTATAGTGTGACATTTGTGTCAGTAATGTTGTAGTATATTTGATTCCGCGCGGGGGGGGGGATGGGTGTTAAATCAATTTCTCCCCCAAGAGACTCGGGCCGGCACTGGGGAAAACAATTACAAGGAGCCAGGGAAAGATGAAGTAAGACGAGGTAGGATGGAGTAACACGAGGATACAGCAATGAGCAACTGCACAAGGAGAGTATTTATGTTAGACTGAACAAATAGAGGACTAACGAGCAGATTGGGAGCAGGTGTGAAGGGAGCAGTCAATCAAGGAGCTAGGGAAAAGGAGACCAACACAGGAGGGCAACAAATAAAAACCTTGGAACTCAAATATATCCAGAAAATAGAACAAAATAGGAATTAACAGAATAACAGAACCAAGACTGTGGCAGTTCCATTTTTCTTCCTCTACCCTCAGAAATAAAAAGAATAAAAATAAGCTGAGACTTTTTATGTCACCTTAATAAATTCTAGAGCAAAGTCTTAGAAGTGCTTTCCTCCAAGTCTGAGAATGGTTGTTTTCTACTATCGGGTACTTTAGATCGCCAATGAAATGTAACATGATACCAAATATAGGTCATAATATGTTTAGACTCCAGAAGAGATTTGATTCGTAAGAAAGGGGTGCAATACAGTTTGCCCGAGTGGAGTTGCCATGTAATGACATCATAAAAGTGCAGAGTCCCCGAGCAGATCTGATCACCCGAGCAGATCTGCTACCTACACCGGACTAGTCTGAGCATATCCGATGATGACGTCAGACAAGCTGTTTAACGGAGAAAATATTTTCTCAGAAAAGTCACATAAAATGATTTATTTTAGCATTCTTCGGTCATTTAAGGATATAAATCATCATGGTTCTATTCACATCTGTTTAGCACCTATAGTCTAGAGCAGGGGTCTTCAACGTTTTCGAGGCCAAGGACCCCTAAATTGATTGCGAGTTGGAGCGGGGACCCCCTAATTATATATATTGTATGAAATTGTGTTATATCAAACTGGTCCTATAGTCACTCTATTACAGATGGAGTCATGTAATTTCTCCCTGGGATTATTAAAGTATTTCTGATTCTGATTCCTGGTTGATGGGACAGGTGTTGTGAATGAAATGGTGCCCAGGTTTGAAAGAGCCCCTGTGTGTTGCTAAATGTGTGCATTGATGACTGAAGGACATCTTCTGCTTCCATTTATCTGTTTACTACAGTGTGTTGAATTCATGTTGATGTGTATTTAAAGACATTTTAATTAGTGCAAAAAATTGCAGGAGGGAATTTTAAAAAAAGTAATCAACCAAGACATTCGCGACCCCCATGCAGTACCTCTGCGGACCACCTAGGGGTCGCGGACCCCCTGTTGAAGACCTCTGGTCTAGAGTCTAGACTCACACCACCATCTAGCCTCTACAAAAGCCTAACTCAGTTAGCTTTCCCCCGCCGGTTCGTATTCACTCACTACAGATTCTACTTCTTGTCACTCAGGTTCAGGTTTTCATTGCTGCACTGCTGGATCTTAGCATGCTGCCCTGTGAAGTCTTTCAACTGCACCTGGTGTGTTACAGCAGCTCAGCGATCCACTCTGTGTTCAACAATCCTCTCTGTGTTTCTGTGGAATCACTATGTACTCTGCTCACCAAGAACTCTCTCCCTGTTAACCTGCAGATCACTGCAGCCTCTGTCTGCTGAAGCTCACTCTGTTCACTGAGGATTACTGCACCTGAGGCTCACATCAGCTCCGGTACAGCCTCTGGTTACTTTTATCCACTATTCAGAACTTTTCAATAAACCTTCTAGACTTAGGGCCGGATTTATCAAGATCCAATTTTGCGCGCAGTAATTTGCGCTCGCAAACTGGAATTTTGCGCGAGGGGCTGAACCATGGTTTGCGGGTGATTTAACAAGAG